AGACATCTGTCAATTTAACTTTTGGATAGCTGATACATTGCTCAAATTAAAAAAAAAAAAACGGAAGTAGGTATCTGGGGCGGGAGGGATGGATCTTCACTGCCCTCCCCTCCTGCCTGAGCGAAGTCATTGTGCTGCTGAGGATCTCTGCAATGTTTTCAAGCTACAGCAGCACAGATACACAATCACACTGTCTCGCTCTTCTAAACACAAAATGCAGCAAGTCACTGTTTCTTGGAACATCCCACGTCCATCATCCCTTCTGTGTACTGCCACATTCTCCTAGCATGAGGGAGGGGCTGCTCTGGATCTACCAAGTCCTGTGAACACTAAGAAAAGCATCGCGGCCAGCACCCGGACACGTTGCTCCCTGCTCGCACACAAAGCAGCTTGGTTGCTCCTGCTCTCCCTCAACCCCCAGAGCAATGCTGCACTCTAGGAGCGACTGGACTACGAAGAGTTTCTGGCATTTTTGTTTTTCTTGCCAATTAGGACTTCCTTCGGAGGAAGGAGATGTTTAGTTGTGTCTGCTGAGTCTTAAAAAGGCTCATTTTTAAAAAGGGGGGGATGTGAGAAGAGCTACTCTCCATGGAATTATGGACTAACAGCCAGATTCCCTGGCACCTGGCCAGAAGGAAGCCAGGCAGAGTACAGTGTGTCTAGGTGGGAAACCCCAACATCTGATTCAGCTGGAGAAAGGGCCCCCACCATGCAACCGAGCCCTGGCAAGCTTCTCTGGCCCCTAAGACCACGCTAAGGATTGGGGTCCATGGATCTGCAAGCTGGAGCTACACATTCACAGGGGGTTCTAGCATCGTTCCCAAGTTCCCAACAGGTGCCCCGACAGGATCTCCAAGACAGGACTGCTTCGGTGGGTTTCCATGAGGTCAGGGGTCCCTCACAGAGTGCTCCAGGCCATGGAATTCCCTTATAAGAGGTGTTGCTGGGCCAAGTTCTCTTCTACCCTGAGGAAGCACTAGAGTCATCATGCCCGCTGTGCCCACCACTCCGCCACCCATCCAGGCAGTTGGCAACAGAGCTTGAGGGCTGGCCTGGATGATAGGCCCAAAAGCCACTAACCTGCTCAAGGTCACCTGGCCGGGTTATAAGTTTGGGCAGCCAGCTTCCTTGCTGACATAGTCATTCACAGTTCCCCAAAAAAGCCTTCAATTTCAACTGGGACATTTTTCATCCGTCTGACCGAACACAGCATCAGGCTGTCTCCACAGCTCTGAGGAAGCCCTGTTCTAGCTCCGACTCACTGCATGAGGCGATGGGGCGGGGGGGGGGGGGGTTCACCTCCTCTCTGGCCTCTGCCTCCCCAGCCATGAATAAAGTAGCTGCAGTGAATAATGTTTGCACCATGCCTGGAATCAGTCAGATGTCAAGAAGTGCCAGCACTGCATCCCCAACCCCTCCAGATCTGCTCCCAGCAATTGCCCACATACCCTCAGACGCCCCTCTGCCATCTCCCAAACCCCCTCCCAAACCATCTCATTTATACTTGAAATGGCCAAGGGAGGCAGGTGGGGCAGAAAATTGCCATCTCATTTCACAGATAGGAGAACCAAGGCTCAAGAAAGAACAACTAATTTGCACAAAGACAGGGCAAGCAAAACCTGCACTTACACTTGCTCCTCCAACTCTTGTTTCTTTTTTTCTTTTTCTTTCTTTCTTTCTTTCTTTCTTTTTTTTTTTTTTTTGTCAACCCTCAGATTTAAAAAGATCAAAGAGGATGGGCTTTCTTTTACTGCCTAGTTTGGCATCAAACATTGACCCTGAAGGATGCTACAAATCAGAGCTGGGGAACTTGGCAACTTGGCAATCTTTCCATCAACTTTTGTGGGTGTCTCTTTGCTGAAGGGGAACACTGGGCCAGAGACCTCGGACCCTAGGTCACCTGCCAAACCCATGTTGCCCAAACTCACTTAGCCTGAGGAGGCCTTTGGGCCTTCCTATGGCCCCATGCTCTGTTCCAGCCTGTGGCTGTAGTGAGATGGTCCCCAGGAGAAGGAGCCACCAAGGACCCAGGCTGGCTTATCCTCCCAGACAGGAAGTCAAGATGGGGGGAGGCTTGCTTGGGGCAAGCCTGCCTACCAGGTCCTTCATTAGTAGAGAGGTGGGCAGGAGCTGGAAGCCTGGCATTTGCTGGATAATGAAGTCCCAATCAGGATAGCCTCCACTGCTGACAATGCAGTCTTGGGCTGGCCATGTCAGCAGCAAGTAAATGAGTGGGTATCTTCTGGACCATAGCCACTGCTGGTACTTCACCAAAGAGGTTCTCCCCAGACGACCTAGGGTATAAAGGCTTGGACTGAGCAGTGCAGAGGGTGCCTGCTCCCCCTCTCTGAGATCCCAGAAAGAGCTCCAGGGTTGGGCTCCCAGTCTGGCTGGGCACTTACAGTGTTCCTGACAATGCAGATGGTGGAGAAAAACAGAGGTGGGCCCTGAGGAGCTGAGCACTTGGCCTGCATGGCCACTACCATGGCTAGAGTGCAAAAAAAAAAACCCTTTGAGGGACATAGGCCCATCAGCTCCCCAGAGATTGCCTTCTCAGTTCAAAACTCTACAGAGGGTTTCGAATATGTGGGTTGGGGGCAGCAGTTGGCTCTCGCAGTTAAGGACACTGTGCCCCCATCCCAGTGTCTGTCATCGCAGCCATGATGGCTCCAGCAGCGGAGTCCCTGCCATTCTCATGGGAGACGGTGATTGTGTTCCTGACTCCTAGCTTCTGCCCAGCCCAGCTCAGCTTGGCCTGCAAACCAGTGTGCAGCAGCTCTTTCAATTTGTTTGCCTCTGTCTCTGCCTCTAAAATTGCAAAACAAAGCAACAAAACAAAACCTCCCGCCAATTTGGACGTGGGAGATTTAATACAACAGAGGAGTGCTATCGGCTTGCAAAGGTATTTCTCTCCATCCTACGCTATTCTCACACCTGCCTAACATTCAGGTAACTACCTAAAAATCTGTTGATAGTTATTTGAATCTAGGACTACATCTGATTTACATCTAAGTGTGAATTCGCAGTTCCTGTAGTTGTAGCACACACCGAGTTTCGAGGAAGGCAACCACTTTGTACATCAAGTGAACCTCGCACTGTGTTTTACTTGGAGCCTGGCCAAGAGCGCCTTGGCTCTCAACAACTTTGCCGGCACGGTGTGAGAGGAGCCGAATCCCCAGGAGCACGCATCCACGGAGCTCTGCATCCAGCCCTGCGGTGTCGGCAGTGATGCCATGTGTGTGGACAGCCCTGACTCCTCGTGCCTCACAGATAGAATCAGCACACATAGGATTGGGACAGACGTTCAGCCTAGTGGTTAGGACACCAGTGCACACCTGGTCTCGTGGGACAGTTCCTGGGCTCTAGCTCCAGCTCGAAGCAGTTTCCTCCCACACACACCCTGGAAGGCAGCAGTGATGGCTCAACAACCTGGGCTCCTGCCACCCATGTGGGAGACCTGTGCAGAGCTCTCAGCCCTGCCGGCTCTGCCTCATCTCAGGTACATAAGCCATCAAGTCACTCTTACAATTTTTCTAAAAGATTTATTTAAAGAAATGGAAGGAGACACACAACAACAGCAAGAGAAAGAGAGTAAAAGAAAGATCTTTCACCTACTGTTTCACTCCTCAAATACTAGGTCAGGAACCAAGAAGAAGCCAGGAATTCTATCTTGGTCACTACACAGGTGGCAGGGGCTCAAGTACCTAAGTCATCTTCTGCTGGCTTCCCAAGGACACCCACAGGGAGCTGGATCAGAGGTAGAGCAGCCTGGACTTTAACCGGTGCTCACATGTGATGCTGGTGTCACATCAACCTGCCATTGGGCCCCAGGAGACCAGGTGGTTCTTGCCCCTTGACTGATCACCGTGTTGTGTTTGCATCTCACAAGGGGCTCCAGCTGCTTCCTCCCAAGCTCAGTGCTGAGCTGTCAGTCAATCTTAGAGCTGGGCCCTCCCTGCCTGGCCACTGGATCTTAGGCTGACCCTGGCCAAGACCCTGGGCTAACACTTGCCACAAGATCCTTTTGCCCACTGGACTAGAGGCCACTCCAAGGCTCTGGTCCTTGTGTAACCACCAGCCCACCATTGTGTATGACACACCATTTGTGTGACATTCAAGGTGTCTCCAGCCTGCCAGGCTGGACAAGCTCCTGGAGCTGGCAGTGGTCTATCCATACAGTACCCCATGTGACCCCAGAGTGGCTGGAGCCAGTGTGTATGTTGATAGTCTTGCCTGTCCTGGCCTCTCAGTCCAACCCCACTGTAGTGGTAAACCCAGTGGTGACCAGCCACCAAGAAGACACTCAGAGGACAGCAATAATTCCCATTACTGGGCATCTCCTTTGTGCTAGCACCTTATAATTCCCATCATAGTGCCAGATGGAGGTGCTGTCACTTGACACATTGGACAGATTAAGCAGCCACAGTCCCCAGTTCTCCCAGGACTGACCCAAGGTGGCACAGCTAGCAAATGGGATATTCAAAGCCAACAGTGGACCTCTAGGGCCTGCCCATTCCACTGGGACACTGACAGCCAAAGGACCCCCCCCCCCTCAGCTTCCAAGATAGCCATGCCTGGCTTTGTAGACACCAATCACCCTCCTGTTGAGGCTCCCACCTACCCTTCCCAGCTTACCACTGCCTGGACCTCAGAACAGCCAGATGTGGTCTCCAAGGAATCCTGTAGCTCCAACAGGCTGGCAACATCCAGGGCTGCTATGCTCCTGGGAGATAAACCCCAGAGCATCCAGCACCCAGCCCCATCCGCAGATGGCCTCCTTTCGCAGGGGGAGGCGCAATCCTGTGCCTTTGGTCTCTTTGTCCTCTGGCTCTATGAGAGCAACATTCAACTGTGTGTCATCACAGCCATACCCCTGGACTCATCCCAGCAGCTCATTGCCACATTTAAGCACAAATGGCCAGTGTCAAGCAAGGAGCCATGCATTCTGCCACGCATGCATTCTCTCTCTCTCTCTCCTGCTGCACACCTGGTCCCCTCACCTGTCACGATGGGGTAGGACTGCGGGCCAGGCACACTGCTCCCGAGATCAGCAGGTGTGGGGCTGCTCAGGTTGGCCTTCATATCGTCCAGGCCTCCAGCCAATGAGGCCATGGCGGAGTACTCTGTGGTCTGAAAGAGAAAACAATGGACAGCTCAGCACCAAGACTCCAGAGCATGCTTGCCAGATCCCGCCAGCTTGCTAGGGACCCAGCTACAAAGCCGGGTAAGGCCATGGTTGGGCCAAGATTCCCTCATGGGGGGCCTCATGTAACCCCCAACCAAAGCTGAAAGGACAGATTCTGCTCATCACACACATCGGTCCAGAATGGAGAGCTTCCCCTGGGAGAGGAGATGGTTTCACACCCAGCTCCCTGGTGGCCAGCAGGCTCCCCTCACCTGGCCCCAGTCAATGGACAGCTCCTCCCCAGTGCAGGGCAAAGCCTCCATGACCCCACATGAAGCAGAAGCAGCAGCCTTCTTGCCAAAGAGAAGGAAACAGCTTCTGATTTCTGTGCTCTGAAAGCACAGGGGCAACATCACAACAACCAGGGAGATAAGATCATCCAGTGCATTAGCCCCCATTTCACAGATGAGCAGACGGAGGCCCATGAGGATGAAGCACTTTGTCAAGGGGCAGACAAGAAGAGAACCAGGTCCAGGGGTGGGGCTCATAAATCCCCTCCCCTGACCCCGCCTCAAGCCAAGGTATTAAATCAACTGAGACACTGCTTGACAGGTGCTCTTGAACTCTAGAAACACAGGGACACCCATCCACATGCTGATTGCTGCCAAGTGTGGACTTCTCACACACTAAGTCCACACACCCACACATGTGCCCCAATGAGTTACACTCCTGACCCAAGCCAGTTCATGGCACTGGAGCTCACAGCAAGCTGCCAGCTGCCACTCAAGCCAGCATCAGTGAGGTCTCAGATAGCCAAGAAACGTGACGCAAGGACATTCTATATCCAGGACACAAGCAACCTCCCACCCAGCCCTCAGGCTTATTTTCAGATAAAGAAAATATTTGGAACCACTTAAGTCCAGAAAATCTGGTGGGACAGTTTTCTCCAATACCCTGGTGCTACGTCAGTGGGGAGCACACCTCTATCTGCCCTGGGATTAGGTCCTTGGCAGGCAAGAGCAGGGGAAGCAAAGTGCCTTCAGAAAGGGAGCTGCAGGCAGCCTGGGCAGGGTGTTGAGTCGCTGGGCAAGCAGCTGGCACAAGGGACTCCGAGTTGGGCACATTCCCAGAGCTTTCCTCAGAAGGTGCATCAGAAGCAGTGCGGGGATGCCTTCCATGGTGGGTGGGCTGGTGGCAGCAGTGCAGGACTCCTAAGCCCCCTGGGTAGCTTCTCCCTGCGCGCCCTAGGCACATCCATTCACATGGCGGCTGAAGCCAAGGTGCAGCAGCGGTCGAGAGCTCAGACCCACAGCACGTCCAGCACTCCAGAGGGAGAAGAACGAGGTGGGGGCGGTGAGGGCTCCCCAACCTCAGGAATCACTAGGAAGCACCAGTAATTAAGACAGTGTGATATTGGCACAGGGACAGATGAATAGGCCCATGACACAGCCTCGAGTCCAGAAACTGACCCACGCGCATATGAAACCTTGATATACGAGAAGGGAGACGCACAAATCAGTGGGGAAGGATGGAGTCTTTAATAAACAGTCCAGGGCAACTGGTTATCCATTCAGAAACGAGGGAGGAACAAAAGAAATTGGATCTGCACACCAGGCACAAAAATCAATCCCAGGGGGATTGGAGACCTAAATATGAAAGGCAAAGGTGTCCCAACATGCCTGGGCCTTGGCGCTGCCAGAAACCCTGGGGAATTGGTCTGCCCTTTCTAGAGGAGATGCCAGTGTCTTCTCCACCATGGGAAGCTTAACCAGGGCTCCCTGCCACTGTGAGGACACGAGCAGGTCCTGGTCCTCCCGCCTACCCTGTCTTGGTGTCACTACTGCCACCTCCAGGAAAACCTTCCTGACTGCCATTTCCTGGGAGGCACAGGTCACCTGCACTCTGTGGGTACCAAGAAGTGGTACCAAGTGGTACCAAGAAGGTCAGCACTGCACCCAAACTTGCCACCAAACAGGCACTTCCTTCATCTGTGCCACCTCAGTGCAGCCTCATGATCGCCATGGAGGAAGCTTTGCTACTGTCATTTTGCAGAGAAACTGAGGTTTCTGTGAGAGTTACTGATGGCGTCACGGTTCAGTGAGTGGGAGGCTCATCATAGAAATGACAGGGTTTCCTGCTGAGTGTCAAGACTAGCCAAGTCTGGAGAAGGCTGCAGCGTGTTGCCACGGGGTAAGGTCACCATGCAGGCTTCATCGCTCACATGCCAGGACTGGGCAGCATGGTGCCACAGGGTAAGGCCCCACCCAGGCTTGGTTGTTCGTATACCAGGACCAGGTTCTGGCCTTGGTCTTCTAGCTTGCTAGCCCTGAACAGGAAGTCAAACTTACCCGATACTGTCATGTACCCGGATGGGCACCAAGAAGTCTCTGAGAAGGATCTACAGTTTTCACATCCCAGTCCCTCCCTGCTGTCTATGTTCCTGAATGGAGCCCTGATGGGAACTACATGAAGACCACCCACGGGGCCGGTGCTGTGGCACAGCACAATAAGCCACTCCCTACACAGTGGACATCTCACATGAAAACTGCCAGTTCAAGTACCAGCTGCTCTGCTTCCTAACTAGCTCCTTGTGAATACACCTGGAAACGCAGGAGATGGCCCGGCTGCTTGGGCGTCTGCACCCATGTGGGAGACCCAGATGAAATTCCAGTTTCCTGGCTTTGGCATGGCTCAGCCCTTGCTGTTGCAGCCATTTGGAAAGTGAACCAGCAGATGGAAGATCTTACATTCTCTCTCTCTCTTTCTCTCTCTTCCTGCCCTTTCCATCCCCCTCAAACAATAATAAAGACACATAAAGATAAAACCCTCCTCCCCATGGCCCCAGAAATTTCATCCAACAGGGCAAAGGGCACAGAGTCATCACATGTGGGCATCCCACTGTCTTATCAAGGCTCCCCGGGCAGGCTGTGCTGAACCTGGGTCTATCCTTGCCCTCCAGGCCTGAGAGCGAGATTCATCACACAGCACAGAGGCAGACACAGGGCAGGCTATGGCTGGAAGGGGGCAAGATCCTCAAGCTGGGATGCCACCACAAGGGCTGACACAGCCCACAGCAGGTGAGTAAATGAGCAAGCCAGGCAGCATCCAGGCCATCAACAGGTCCCCCTGCACTCCAAACCCTCAGCCTCTCTGCTCTGACTCGACTGGGCACCAAGCCTGCCAGAAAAAGGCTGGATACTCCCCCAAGACAGTATTACGGAGCAGAATGGCAGAAAGGGGGACCCAGAGGGATATGCTCCTGCCTTGTACCAAATTCAGTCTCAAAGTGCATCCATCACTTCAACTCTTGGGCTTGCAGCATGTTTTCAACATATGGAGTTGTTGAGTATGTGACACCTGTGGCGGAAGGTACCCCAAACCCAGTGATCTCATCACCCATGGCTCCCAGAAACCAAAGGGAATCTCCCTGAAGAACCAGCCATCGGGCCATGGAGCTGGGAAAGCAGCACCCGGCGGCCCGTCCCTTGCCACCTGCTCTACACCTGCCACTTCCCCAGAGCCTCCCTTCCTGGGGTGGGATGGGAGGGTCACAAGCTGGGTGCTGACTCCACTCCTACAGGAGCCAGGAACACTGTCATCCAGCTTTGCTGCTTGTCTCAGCACTGTCTGCCCCCAGGAACTGCTGGGATTTTTTCAAGACAGCTGCATGGTCCCATCTCCTGGGCTCCCTGGAACGACCCCCTATGGGCTACAGCTCAATCCTTCAATCACTTTCTTGCCTTTGCCTGGTGGGCCCATCTCAGTCATTCAGAGACTTTGCAGGCTGTCCACAACAGGTAGTTTCAATGTCACCTCCTCCGTGAATGCAGGGTTTCCTGCCCCCCACTTCACCGTCCGGCTCCTCTAGAGACACTATCACTCTCTTGTCCAGTCTTCCATCACCAGTGGCAATATTTTTAAGATCCACTTTACATTTGTTCGAAAGGCAGAATTACAGGGCAGACAGGAGAGAAAGATTTTCCACCCGTTGGATTACGACTCAAACACCTACAACAACCAGGTCTGGGGCAGATATAAGCCAGGAGCCTGGCAGTCCATCTGGGTTTCCCAAGTGGGTAGCAGGGACCCAAGTGCTTCAGCCATTTTTTGCTGCTTTCCTAGATGCATTAGGAAGGAGCTGGATTGAAAGTGGAGCAGCCAGGACTTGAGACAGTGCTCACAGATGCTGCTGCTCCAGGGTGACACTTAACCTGCTGTGCCACAGCACTGGCCCCTAGGTAGCATTCTGCACAGAAGTCTGTTACTGCATTTCCCACTATGTGTGAGATTATTTCAAAATGTTCGTTTGGATGCAAAAACATTTTTAAATTTACCCATATACGAGATCTTCAAAAAGTTCATGGAAATGCAAGTTATGAAAAGTCTTTCAACTTTTTCAAGTATTCATGTACAGTAGCACATGTTCATCTCTATCCACGTTGCCCCAAAAGCAAAGTGGAACGTTCCAGGGCCTTCTAGGTGCTTGTTGAATGAATACATGAATGACAGATGGTCTGGTAAGCTACAACATTCAAAAATGGAGGCATCTGAACAAGAGCACCAAGCTAGGAAGCTGAGGCAGAACGAGTGATTCACCACCACGACCATATTGTTACCCTCTTTCTCTACGTGATTTCTGAATTTTTTCAGATGTAACTAACTCAGAAATACATAATCATTTATTTTGCTTCCCGAAGTCCTCCGTGAAAGTGAAGATGGAGTTTGGCATTGGGACATGGTGGTAAAGCCATAACCTATAACACAGCATCCCATATGGGCACCGGTTCGAGTCCTGACTGCTCCATTTCTGATCCAGCTCCCTGCCAGAACACGTGGGAAAACAGCAATAAGATGGTCCAGGTGCATGTGGCAGACCCAGATGAAGCTCCTGGCTCTTGGATTTGCTCTCTCTCGCTCTGGCTCTCTCTCTCTCTGACTCTCCATCTTTCAAATAAATAAAAATAACTTTTAAAAAGTAGAGTCTGGGAGAGATGAAAAGAAGGGG